TTTTTCCTTAATAAAGGGATACAAGAAGACATTTACAAGCAAAATTATTGAAATTAATTATAATACAAAAAGTACACCAAATCAACATTTCTGCTTCAAACTGTATCAAATAGATAGAGTAATAATTGATGAAATTATTTATAGGCCTAATTTTAAATGTATAAACTACAGGTCCTTCTCAAAAAATTTGCATATTGTGATAAAGTTCATTATTTTCCATAATGTAATGATAAAAATTTAACTTTCATATATTTTAGATTCATTGCACACCAACTGAAATATTTCAGGTCTTTTATTGTTTTAATACTGATGATTTTGGCATACAGCTCATGAAAACCCAAAATTCCTGTCTCAAAAAATTAGCATATTATGAAAAGGGTCTCTAAACGAGCTATTAACCTAATCATCTGAATCAACTAATTAACTCTAAACACCTGCAAAAGATTCCTGAGGCTTTTAAAAACTCCCAGCCTGTTTCATTACTCAAAACCGCAATCATGGGTAAGACTGCCGACCTGACTGCTGTCCAGAAGGCCATCATTGACACCCTCAAGCAAGAGGGTAAGACAGAAAGAAATTTCTGAACAAATAGGCTGTTCCCAGAGTGCTGTATCAAGGCACCTCAGTGGGAAGTCTGTGGGAAGGAAAAAGTGTGGCAAAAAAACGCTGCACAACGAGAAGAGGTGACCGGACCCTGAGGAAGATTGTGGAGAAGGACCGATTCCAGACCTTGGGGGACCTGCGGAAGCAGTGGACTGAGTCTGGAGTAGAAACATCCAGAGCCACCGTGCACAGGCGTGTGCAGGAAATGGGCTACAGGTGCCGCATTCCCCAGGTCAAGCCACTTTTGAACCAGAAACAGCGGCAGAAGCGCCTGACCTGGGCTACAGAGAAGCAGCACTGGACTGTTGCTCAGTTTTGCATGTCATTCGGAAATCAAGGTGCCAGAGTCTGGAGGAAGACTGGGGAGAAGGAAATGCCAAAATGCCTGAAGTCCAGTGTCAAGTACCCACAGTCAGTGATGGTCTGGGGTGCCATGTCAGATGCTGGTGTTGGTGCACTGTGTTTTATCAAGGGCAGGGTCAATGCAGCTAGCTATCAGGAGATTTTGGAGCACTTCATGCTTCCATCTGCTGAAAAGCTTTATGGAGATGAAGATTTCATTTTTCAGCACGACCTGGCACCTGCTCACAGTGCCAAAACCACTGGTAAATGGTTTACTGACCATGGTATTACTGTGCTCAATTGGCCTGCCAACTCTCCTGACCTGAACCCCATAGAGAATCTGTGGGATATTGTGAAGAGAAAGTTGAGAGACGCAAGACCCAACACTCTGGATGAGCTTAAGGCCGCTATCGAAGCATCCTGGGCCTCCATAACACCTCAGCAGTGCCACAGGCTGATTGCCTCCATGCCACGCCGCATTGAAGCAGTCATTTCTGCAAAAGGATTCCCGACCAAGTATAGACTATTGAGTGCATAACTGAACATAATTATTTGAAGGTTGACTTTTTTTTTTGTATTAAAAACACTTCTTTTATTGGTCGGATGAAATATGCTAATTTTTTGAGACAGGAATTTTGGGTTTTCATAAGCTGTATGCCAAAATCATCAGTATTAAAACAATAAAAGACCTGAAATATTTCAGTTGGTGTGCAATGAATCTAAAATATATGAAAGTTTAATTTTTATCATTACATTATGGAAAATAATGAACTTTATCACAATATGCTAATTTTTTGAGAAGGACCTGTATACACCACTGAGACAAAACATTATGACCACCTGCCTAATATGCTGTTGGTCCACTGCGTGCTACCAAAACAGCGCTGACCTAAAACAATTTTTAAAAAAAATACCCTAGAAGGTGTCCTGTGGTCTCTGGCACCAAGACATTAGCAGCAGATCCTTTAAGTCCTGTAGGTTGCGGTGTGGAGCCACCATGGATTGAACTTGCTGGTCCAGCACATCCCACAGACACTCAATTGGATTGAGATCTTTTGAGAATTTGGAGACCAGGGCAACACTTTGAACTCTTCATCATGTTCCTCAAACAATTTCTGTGTGTGCAGTGTGGCAGGGTGCATTATCCTGCTGAAAGAGGCCACTTTCACTAGGGTACACTATTGTCATTGAGGAGTGTACCTGGTCTGCAACATTGTTTAGGTAGGTGGCATGTGTCAAATGTCAACATGAATGGCCGGACTCAGGGTTTTCTCAGCAGAACATTGCCCAGAGCATCACACTCCCTCCACCGATTTGTTGTTGTCCCACAGTGCATCCTGGTACCATCACTTCCCCAGGTAAACGGCACACATACACGGCCATCAATGTGATGTAAAAGAAAATAGGACTCATTGGACCAGACGATCTTCTTCCACTACTCCAAAGTCCATTTCCAACACATTGTGGCTGCTTTCGACGGTGGACAGGGTTCATCATCATAGGCACTCTGATTGGTCTGCGGTAACGCAGTCCCATATGCAGCATAATGTGATGCACTGTGTCTTGTGACGCATTTCTCCCCTAACCATCATTCAAATTTTGAGTGACGCACTGTTGGCTCAGACCAGATGGGATAGTCTTTGTTGCCCTTGTGCATCGATGAGCCTTGGCGCCGGTTTGTCCCTCCTCTATCCACTATTGGTAAATTCTTACCACTGCTGACCGGGAGCAACCCACAAGCCTTGACCTTTCAAAGATACTATATTAGGGGTGTAACGATACACGTATTCGTATTGAACCGTTCGTTACAAGGCTTTCAGTTCGGTTTTCGGTACGCATTTTTAAACCGAACGGTTCGTTGGACCATTTTTCCTGCCGACCAACATTTCGTTATTTCAAATGTAGGCGCGTCGCGCGTGGCAAGTGCGCTCATAATGTAAGAGACGCTACTCGTTAATGTGTGGTTGACGGACCGTTTATCAGTTTGGACCAATGCAGCGCGAGTCGATCTTAATCATCAGCACTGTTACTACACAGCGAAATCCAGTAAAGAAAGCATTTGAATTCGCCACTGAAGTAATAACATCGCTGCGAGATCTAGTGTGAAACATTCACATTTCTCCGTTATTAATGGATCAAACAGCGCTGACGTGGAAACCAGGAAGAAACATTGTGCCATGAATGAACTATTCAGTGTCCACAGATCAGCAACATTCATCATGGATTTACTGTAGTAACACTACTAACTGTAGCCATGGAAGTTTGGCAGGAATAATAGGTTATAATGCTTTCAAGTAACATTACGTCAGTTTTATTGTGACATTATGAATACAATTGCTGCCCTCAAATGTTAATCTGAACTAAAATAAACCTTTGTTTATAACTACTACAATATTACATTTCATTTTGTCCAAGGAGCTGTTTTGTTTTATATGCTCCTAAGAAAAGTCAAGTATAGCTCCATCATTGCTCAAAGTAAAAAAATATCATACTTTATGATGTTAGTTTTAATAAAAATATAATTAAAAAAATTAAATCAAGGACATTTCTCTGGCATTTCTTTCTTTTTGCTGTATCGAAAACGTACCGAACCGTGACACAAGTGTATTGTATCGAACCGAACCGTGAATTTTGTTAACCGTTACACCCCTAATATATATATATATTAGGGGTGTAACGGTTAACAAAATTCACGGTTTATATATATATATAGTAGTGTGTATATATATATATATATATATATACACACACTACTATATATATATATATATATATATCAGTGGCGAGCGGTGACTTTTTTTAACCGTTACACCCCTAATATATATATATTAGGGGTGTAACGGTTAACAAAATTCACGGTTTATATATATATATATAGTAGTGTGTATATATATATATATATATATATATACACACACTACTATATATATATATATATATATCAGTGGCGAGCGGTGACTTTTTTTAACCGGGTATGCTGGGTGATGCGTTATGTCAAAAATGCACCTATGCACGTTGGATGGGTTTATAATAAGCACGTTCGCTCTAGACAGAGTGTTATCTTCTCAGTTGCTTAATCTTGTGACACATGGCAACACAGCTAAAAGTTTCCTATATTTGACCATTTAATGAAAATAGTTGATGCATTCACAAGCACCCGTAAAAGCTGTCGAGTTGAGTAACGCACACCGCGAGAAAGGGGTTTGCAAAATGTGCCGTATTTTTGTAATTCTGCTAGGTGGCACTTATGTCGCAGAAATTACATGCATCACCTTTAAACGTTACGGCACATTGGCAGACATCTAATTTCAGAGACGACAAATACACCACGGCAGGCGCCAATTCAAATGTATGCCAGAATTGTGTGTTTTTTTATTTATTTATTAAGAATTAAAAATAAGTATAATATAATAAATATTAGTAGCCTATTATAAATAAAATATAAGTAAAATATCATTAGAATAAATAAGTATAATACAAATATAGTTATTATTTGAAAATATAAGTTGAAACAGATAATGCAAATTGATGACTTTAACAAACGCATACGATTAACAGCCTCGGATAGTTACAGGTCTGCTTAGGTCTGTCTTTAACAGTTTATAAGTTTTCGTACAAAAAATAAATGTCCCTATGAAGAAAATAAAATATTATGAAAATAGTTTTTTTCACTTGATTTAGTACAGTTAGTCTTGTATCAGACTATGCAGCCCAGACATAAGCTACAAACATTTAAGTTGAATTAAATGACAGACACGGTTTATTATGTAACCAAAAATACCAATTATAACAATAGTTATTCATATTCATAACTGCAGTTTTCTTTATAAACAAGCCTGAAATACACCAGTCCTTTTAATTTGGACATGTCTATGCTTTACTATTGCTGCTCATCCAAAAAGATGCACTCTTTAAGGAGCCGCAGGGCCTTTTTTTCCTACATTCACACTGCTAAATACATTTAACAGTTAGCACAAATACATTTTTTTGTTGCAAATGTGAGTGAAATACTTGCACTGTCGAGCCCTGTGTTTACATTTGTTAATTTCTGTTACCTTTCTTGTATTTGAGCAGCAACTCCCAGATGCCTCTGCGTGCATAGGGATCAACTCCTGCTGTTGGCTCATCCAAAATCACAACATTCGACCCGCCCACAAATGCGATAGCAACAGACAGCTTCCTCTGCATCCCACCTGAATGCACACAACAAAAATTTGCCAAATCTCCAGTGTCTGTAAGCATTATAAGTGTAGTATGAATGCTGCTGATGCGCACACCCACCCACACACACAAACACACACACCTGAGAGGTTCTTGGCGAGGTCTTTGCGTTTGTGAGGTAGACCCACGTCGTTAATCATTTGATCAATTTCCTTCTTCACCTCTTTAGAGCTCCGTCCCTTCAGGCGGGCATAGAAATAAATGTGTTCTTCCACTGTCATGCTGAAAAAACAAACGGAACATGAATAAACACATTCAAACATAACACATGACAAATACTCACTTATATAAACACAGACAAGAACACAAACATAAACAAGAGACAAGTATCACACATACAACATGTTCAAAAATGTCAAATAGAAACAGTTATAAACGAGTATAAATAAGCTTAGAATTTCTGTAATTTTAGTATTATTTATATATTATTATAGCATTTATTAATATTTTGAATAAGCCTTTATTTTAATATTTTAATTTTAGTACTTCAAATAATTTAGGTTAGTTGTCAAGACAACATTTCTAATTTCCGTTTCAGTTTTACATGTAATATTTATATTTTAGCTTTATTTAAATGAAAACAAATAACCACTGTTAAGTTTTAGTTAACAATAACAATAGGTTAATTCATCACTATTTGGGTAATAATGAAGCTGTTGGGTTAATAACTACAAATATTCAAATGTACAGGTTATTCACATGAAGAAAGCCTTTGTCATGCATGATGTAGTTGGTATATCTTATGTTTCTTATGCATATGCATGCTGCATCGTGCCAGATCAATGTCACAGTTTTAGAATAAAACTCAACTGAATCTGTGATCATTTCATCATTGAAATAAAAATGCAGAGAAAAGAAAGGAGCTCTAAAATCAAGGGCAACGCCTTTGGCGGTTCAAGTGAGTCCTAATTTCAGTAGAATGACAGTGTTGATAAAGAGCTTGAATTTCACTCTTAAAAGCCTGTACGTAGCCTGTCTTCTGTCAGAATGAATTGAATTGGACTGTGATTGCCTGCAGCTTTGAAATCTTTTGTATGTAAAACATTTTTTAGTTGAACTGTGATTACCTCTAGTTTTTGAACATTTGTTTTGATGGTTTTGAGTTGAACTGAGCTGTTTTAATGTTTGTTTGTTTTCTATTCTTGATTAAGAACTGAACTGCTCTCATCAGCTGTTTTTGTAGAATTGTTACTTATCTTGTGAGACTTTCATTAGTTGTCAAACCTTTTTGTCAATGGTACTCAGATCAGGATTTTGAGGGGATCACAGGAAGCAGTATTGGCAACTACAGATAACCGACATTGATCATGGGGTCTATTTAAAGCGTTCATTTTATCATGTAGGATTATTTATAGGGATGCTCTGATCAGGATTTTACAGGTATTAATTCAGTGCTTGAATTTTGTTTTGGAAAATGGTGGAAATTCCTGCCTTATGTGACCCTTTTGTAATTTATCATTATATATATATAAACATTTTTGCTTTTACATTGGGGAGATTTTGTTTCACAATAGCTTCAACACAGCACAAGCCTCATTTCAAACTTTGAATTTACAAAAAAGAAAAGTAAACAGTCAGTAATAAAATAAGAACAAATAAGCAAATTGCAAGCACTTGCACAAATAAATGCAATGATAAAGATACAAATACAATAAACAGTGCTTTAAGTTTATTTATTTATTTTTTAGGTAGGTCTGACAGTAGTTTTCAGGTAAGAAATACTACTGAAATTGAATAAGGAATCAAATGTAAAATAACACTGGATAGTCTTCCCTGAATAAATCAAATAGAAATTAATCCTTACATTTAAAGTTACAAAAGTTATTCAGTCAAGAGCAGTGAGTGCTTTTCTTTGTCTTTTGTTGTTTGATTAACATTAATGACACAGACAGCAACAGATATTTAGAGGCTGCTGTAACTTTAAAAGCTGATGCACGGATCCAATACACTTACATATGTGTTTGCGTTCAGTTAGGTCATAACTGACTGTGTTTACGTGAATATTCGCCGAAACGATAGTTTTCTACATGCACTGATTTGTGTGCATTTGACCATTTAAGAGCAATTAGCCACGAAAATAACTATTTTTGGTACTGACGAGCTGTTTGTGAGGTGGCTTTATGTGTGATGTGAAGCCAGAGAGAGAGCGGGCTGATTCACTCATGCTGTTTGTGAAATCACTTCTCACAGACTGATTTCTAAACAGATGTGTGAAGTGTAGGCCTACTTCGCCTTCAGCATTATAATTTTTTTCCCTGTGCCGGACAGAGATTGAGATGCCGCCGCTGCAAGCATGTCATGCAATATCTCTCAAGGCAGGCGCGAAATCGGCAAATTGAGAGATCGCTGATCGAGTAGCGATTTTCGGCCAATAGTGATCGATAGCCAATCAATAGGAGCACCCCTACTTTTTGTCTGATGTTTCAGAGTTCAGATGTGCCAGTATTCAGGGATAGTGAACAAATACACTAAATTTGATTTCCTTTTTTTTCCTATCTATGTTTGTGGACCCTGTGATAGAGAGAAAGGAGATGAAATGAGGTTTTACTCATTGAAGAGGACGTTGTGTTGTGGACACATTCCCAGGTGTGTCCTGATGGTGTCCATGTCAGTGCGGATGTCGTTGCCATTAATATAAGCGGTACCAGAGGTGGGAGCAAAAAGACCCGTCAGTATTGACCTGATGAAACAACAAGAAAAACATTAGAACAATATTTGAAAATAAACCACCTCATGAACTCAATAGTGTCATACATGTCTCTTTTTACTCAACATTATTTAGATATGAACTGTAGTATGATTGTGTATTATAGAGTATAGAGTATTCAGTGGCCCTAATAACATATTTGCACACTTGAGCTACAATTTCCATTGCACAATTAAGCATGTCTTTGCATTGTAAATATAACAATACAAAAACAAACAGGATTTAAAGGGGACATAACACACACAGTTTCTGCCAATCTCATTTTAATCTTGAGTAACAATAGAGTAGTATTGCATCCTTCATATCTCCGAAGAGTCTTTAGTTTGATCAGATTTATAAAACACAGATACAGCTGTACCGCTTCTTTCCGAAAACGCTAGAGCTCCTGGAGGCGTCCCGTGCAGCGCTGCCGGCGACTTCCGCAACCCGAACGAAGTACGTTGATGGCAGAAGTCTTACTCTTCTACTTCTACTCTTCCGGCAGAAGTTGCCCATGCAAGGAATTCCGCCCTTTATGACATTATACAGGGCAATACTCGAAATTTTTTTTCCAAAACTGTATTTGACACAGAAATACTCTGTCACACGCCCAACTCGTTTTTTGAAACTTTGGCCATGTTTAGCATGAGAATCCAACTCTTTAACAGTGTAAATGAGTCAGAATGCATGAAATAGCATTAGACATCCCCTTTAAGTTTTAAGAAATAAAGCACAAGCTTATTTTTAATTAAAACATTTCAAACAATGACGTTTGTTAGATTTCAAAATGTGTAAAAATAATTCTAAAAAATATTATTCAAAATGAAAATGAGTCTTGGACACTGTTTTTATATTAAAAACAACTCAAAGGTTTTTTATTTTATTTTATTTTTTTATGTTATGTTATTTGATTTCAGATTTTTTTTTTACATTGAAAATGGATATTTGTTAAATTCTTGTTTTAAGAAGCATCTTGTAGTTCCCTCTCGAGGGCACTTGCGCTGCATCATCGCTGCAGTCTAATGGCATAGTGGAACGTCACAGGCTGGGTGACGTCAGGACCAGGAAGCTATAAAGCGCACCCAGACCAAACATTGTCAGCTTCTGTGCCTCAGCAAGCACTCTGTGTAAACTGTCCGTCTTATTTAGTGTTTTTTGTCCAAGTCACAAAATCACAAGACAATAATGGCAAGCAAACAAGCATTTAAAATGTGTGTTCCTTCCTGCCCTGGCTAAATCACGGGCAAGGATACAGACGATTTGTGTGGGGTTTGTTTGGGAGCAGAGCATGCACAGTCAGCTCTCCAGGAGGCTAACAACGTGCATTATTAGAGATTACCGCTCGCTCCGTCCTGTCACTCTTCAAGGAGTGTGATCAGGCTGGCGTTCCGGCCCCGCGGCTGTCGAGGCAACGCGACGATTGAGCGCAAATTAATATTGTGGAGGTGTTAGAGATTGGCTCTGCCTTCACCCACGGCATCCAGCGCCTTTAGTTTCGGAATTTCCTTCCATCCTGAGTGAGAGCCGGTGCTTCAGCTGTCTAGCTCTGAGGAGGTAGATGTGCTGAGCATTGATGCGGGGGAATTGAGGACTCGCCATCCTCATCCCCTGCGTACAAAGAGCATGTGGATGTTTTAACCCGTGCTGTGGCCGACATCGATTGGCCAAGAGACAGGGCGCTCAGCCCCCCCCCCCAAAAAAAATTAGACAAGCATTTCCTGTCGTCAAAATTACAACCCCCATGTCGGGGCCTTCCATTCTTTCCAGATCTCCATTATAAGATTTCAAGATCTTGAGGTGAACCCTTTTCAGCTCTGCTTTTCAGTCCTCATTTAAAAACATATGCAAATATAAGTGGGCTAAAAGGAGCATGGGTATGGGGCGATGCCGAAGGTGGAACAGACTCTTGCGAGCTATCTGTCACCTGGCACAGCGTCATCCCTTAAGGCCACGACATTACACTCCAGGCTGGTTAGAACTACCGAGACAGAGTCCAGTTTCTACAGCCGGTACTTCATCATTCCAAAGAAGGATGGGGGTTGCGTCCCATTTTAGATCTGTGCCGCTCGATCTCAGGTAAACTCAAGTAAAACTCAAGTAAAAAATGCTGACCTTAAAGCAGATCGTGACTCAAATCAGATCTGAAGACTGGTTTGTCACGACAGATCTCAGGACCCATACTTCCACGTATCCATCATTCGAAGGCACAAGTTCCTGAGGTTTGCTTTCGGGGGCGAAGCGTACCAATACTGGGTTCTTCCCTTCGATCTAGCTCTATCACCCCACACTTTCACGAAATGTGTGGATGCAGCACTGGCTCTGGGGCATCCATGAGTTAGACTAGACTGTCGCCCACGCCAATATGAAAAAGTTGGGGTTAAGGCTGAATGCCAAGAAGAGTGTGGTTTCTCCAGCACAGAGAACCACTTTTCTAGTTGTGGTGTGGGATTCGACAATGATGCATTGATTAGATTCTTACAGCCATAAACGAGATAAAGCTAGGCCAGTCAACTCACTGTCAAAAATTTTCAGAGACTGGTGGGTCTGATGGCAGCTGCACCCAACGTGATACCTTTTGGCTTGAAGCGTTGGTTCTTTTCCCAAAGTACCTTGTTAGGATCTCATTGTCATTGCGTCACGCACATGACAGATGCTTCCGTCACAGATTGGTTAGCAGATATGGAAGGTCACTCAGCTCAGGGACTGTGGAGGAGTCATCATTTCTCGTGGTGGCACATGAATTGCCTGGAAATAATGTCTGCATTTCCTCCCCGACCTGAGAGGCCATCATGTACTTGTTTGCACAGACAACACATCAGTGGTCTCTTATATAAATCATCAGTGCGCTCTGCGTTCGTACCCACTATGCAAACTCTCCCTGAAAACAGTATACACATTAGTGGTCAGTTTGCATCTCAGGATACGACACACTGTTTGTTTTGGTTCTACCTCACTCACCCAGCTTCTTTTGGAACTGGATGACATGTTTCCTCCGTGATGCTTTGAGGCCAGGAGAGGAGAATGGCGGCTTAGAAAGCCATATTAAAGTGCCCCTATTATGCTATTTTAAAGTTTCCTAATGTTGTTTTGGAGTCTCCTATAACAGGTTTACATGCATCAAAGGTCAAAAAACTGTTTCATTTTCTCATAATATACATGTGCACATCACCACATTTTCAATGATTCTCAAACGACTCGTCAGATGAATCAATCTCTCTAAATTCCTCCTTTCCGCGAGCTACTCTGCTCTGATTGGCCAGACAGCTCAGTCTGTTGTGATTGGTCTACCGTGGCACGCGTGTCGGGAAAAAAAAAACGCCCATTGCCATAACAACGTCAGCTCTGCTTGTCCTGAGGCTTTCTACACCGTAAACTAAACACAGTAACGATCAATCCGAGCGCGAGTCCGATGATGAAACACTGGAAGAACTAGTTATTCAACCCCAACCTCCATCGCAAGGACAACTCGAGCAGGACGTTTCTCAGTGATACGCTACTCAGTTTGAGGCACATTATGGGATGTTGCAACTGCAATTCCTCACCATCAGCATTAACAAGTGTATGTCCATCAACAAACCAATTATTTTACTTGTACTTATTTATTTACAGAGTATTTTTGTTAATTTATTGCGGTGAACATGTGGGAACTATATCAATAAAAGTGCATACATTAGCCGATCTCTAGCGAGAATGACTAATGTAACATAAACGTTGGTAAAACAAATCTTGCTCCATAGTTAATCTTTACTCAAAGTAGTGAAAACGACAGACAATCTGCATTAATAGACACGGTTTTAGGTAATAGTGGCCCACAACTGATTAGCAGAAGTATTTCAGTAAGACAGTAATAATGTGAGTTAACCAGTTAGCAGGAGACCTACACAATATAAAACTCAAAACTAAGTATTTTGAACACCATCTTTCAAGAGCAAGAGGTTTGCGAATCCTGCATTGAACTCCGAGATGTGAGAAGCAGTCATAAAATAAAAGGAACACAGCTAAAATTTAGGATTATACTGCTGTGGTATCGTGGTAAAGATTAATTTTAACCACTGATTCTTCACATGCTCGTCCTTGGGCAGTGAAAGAAAACTGGCTTTACCTTCACATTTTAGAGCACAGCATCTTCTCGACATGATGCTGTCCAGTATCCACAGCAATTAGCTACAGTGTCTGAGGGCATTCAAGGTTTCCCTGGTGTCTGCGCGCGCAATAAGTGGGCGGACAATATGCTAATGTTCCGTCTTGACGTCACAACGAAACCGCTTATGACTCTTTGAAAAACTATTAATTTGACTCAGAGTCGACTCTTACTTTTGAAAGACAATAACTTTATAGACGGTGTACTTTCAGATTTAAAACTTTGCAGGATGTTTTCATTCACTTATAGCTATGTTACACACTACATGAAAGGTCATTTTCAAAAATCCATAATAGGGGCACTTTAAATAAGGGGTCTCCCTACAGGGTGTGGTATGTGGCAAGCGGGTCCTCTCCACTCACATTTGTAGGATTTTACAATCTGGACCTGGGTTCTACACTAGATTCTCAGGTGCTTTTGTCTTAGTGTGCTCCCAGTGATTCACACAGATAGGCATTTTGAAGTCTGGCGATTTGGGTATCCGTGTTCCCAAAGCATCAATTATGATGACGCAGCGTGAGTTTCCTCGAAAGGGAACGTCCTGAGAAGGCAACAAGACGCTGCGTCTCCCTGCCATACTCCCTACATCCCTGTGATCGATTGCTTCGGCCTATCAGAAGCTGACAATGTTTGGTCCTCACGTCACTCTGCCTATGATGTTCCGTCATGTGCCACTGGACTGATTTCACACACGTGCTTCAGACGCAATCACACAGAGGGGTTCCCAAAGAGTCAATGACGATGACGCAGCAACCCGTTCCCTTCTCAGGGAACAAGGGTTACAGTCGTAACCAGAAACGTTTCACAATCTCAAGGCTTGTAATGTCTGTAAACTGTAACTGTAAAACTTTCAACCCTATATTACTATTGCAAGTGATGTGAAAAATGCTTGCCACTGCCGAGTAGACAAGAAATGATACTATGATGTATAATTTGCATATTATTTATTTATTTATTTTATTTTTTATTTTAAGGGTTTGCACAGTGAACTTTCAACCAAATAAACTGAACTTTGATTAGGTCCACACCAAAAGTATTTTGTTGCATAGGGCCATTGCTAAAGATGTATGAATTATGTATGTGCATGTTAATATGTTTGAGTATGTGACTGCATAGATGAGCATTATACACATGCATACACTTGTGAAAACTCACATAGTGGTGGTTTTCCCGGCTCCGTTATGTCCTAAAAACGAGGTGATGTGATCTTGATAGAAGTCCAGGCTGAGTCCGTCCACAGCCAGTTTATTTCCCGTCTTATAGACCTTTACCAGGTTGCGGATACACACACCAGCCTTCATTCCAGACGGAGACTTTTCCAAGTAACCTGCAGCACACACATCCGTTTAGAAGTTTTGATAAAGAATCATTATTCATATCTGTTTGTGGTGTGTGTGTATTTGTACCGTTCTTGTCCTCGATCTCATTAAGCAGGTCGGGTTCACCATCAGATCCCACCAGAGTTCCACACCAGTACGAGGAAGTAAAGGGAAAATACCAGGGCTTTGGGATACCATACTGACCTAAAGAAAGACGCAAACAACTGTTCACACGCTGATAAATCAAAGTAAAAGCAGGCTACATTCTGGATATATAAATATGTCCAATTTGATCAGCATACACACAGTCCGGTATACTATTTACACACTACCAGTCTGAAGTTTGGAATAATTAAGATTTTTTAAATGTTTTTGAAGGAAGTCTGTTATGCTCACCAAGGTTGCATTTATTTGATCAAAAATACAGTAAAAAACAAAACAAACAAAAAAACAGGAATATTGTGCAATATTATAACAATTATAAAAAATGCCGTTTTCTATTGTAAAATGTAATTTATTCCTGATGCAAAGCTGAATTTTCAACATTATTACACCAGTCTTCAGTGTCACATGATCCTTCAGAAACCATTCCAACATGCTGATTTGCTGTTCAAAAAAACATTTGTTATTATTATCAATGTTGAAAACAGTTTGTGCTGCTTCATATTTTTGTGGAAACCGTGATATAATTTTTTTTGGTTTCTCTAATGTTTAAAAGAACAGCATTTAAAATTTAAATAAAAATATTTTGTAACATTATAAATGTATTTACTGTCGCTTTTGATCAATTTAATACACCTTCTTTTAAATATTACTTAGCCTAATCTTGTAAATCATAGTGTGTTATGATTTTCACAAAAATATGAAGCAGCATAACTCGTTTCAACATTGATAATAATAAGAAATGTTTCTTGAGCAGCAAATCAGCATATTAGAATGATTTCAGAAGGATCATGTGACACTGAAGATTGGAGCAAGGGGGTAATCCATCGACCGGAAGTTGAAGCCGGCCGGGTGCCGCCATGTTGTAGCAGAACTTCACTTGCGTTAGCATTTCCATTGACTCCCATTCATTTTTGCGTCACTTTGACAGCGAATAACTTTACATCTGAGGCGTTTAAAGACTCCATTTGTCCATTATTTATTTCTAAAGAAACACGACAATGTATAAAGGGCTCCATTACCTTCTATGTTACATTATGGCCCCGTAGAAACAGATTTAGTAAAAATAGGCTAACGATTGCGTCATAACCACTCGACTCTCTGTCGCGCTGTACAGAAATGACCGTACAGACAGGAGGAGAAGCTCGCAGGCAATCGGGGGGACGTCCCGTCAAGGGAGAAGCCCATAGATAATGAGTCCATAAAAGCAACGGAATACTTACTCCTGCTCACTCACGCCAAAGAACTCTTTGCTCAAGTTCCCCGTCTCTGCAAGATTAACGTTGGCAGTTTTCACGCACAGCTACTAGAAGATTAACGTCTGTCAGACAGGTTGCTCACGTCATCAAGCTTACGGTACTGATCCACTTGTCCGTGCGACACTTCAGTCGCGCCGCACTCCACTTTATTCCTATGGGTGACGTCACGCGACTTTAACGCGCCCGCAAAGCATCCCGGGAAGGCGGCGCTTCATTTGGAAAAATGCTGCGCGTCAAAAAGCTGGCCGATGCCCAGCTTTATGTAAATGAATCCGTCAAACGCGACGCGTCTATCCAATAGAAGTAGTCTCTCGAGGGGCCTTTGTTCTAGACTGGCCGCTGGGTCAAAACCACGCCCATAGCGGTAAACTTGAGGAACGCGCATCAACTTACAAATGTGGAGAGGGTGCGACACCACGCTTCAGTCATGTCGCAAAAGTGGATCAGTAAGAGACTACTTCTATTGGATAGACGCGTCGCGTTTGACGGATTCATTTGCATAAAGCTGGGCATCGGCCAGCTTTTTGACGCGCAGCATTTTTCCAAATGAAGCGCCGCCTTCCCGGGATGCTTTGCGGGCGCGTTAAAGTCGCATGACGTCACCCATAGGAATAAAGTGGAGTGCGGCGCGACTGTAGTGTCGCACGGACAAGTGGATCAGTACCGTAGTTTGAGTCGGTCTGAGTCTGCGCGTCAGGAACGGAAGTTCTCAAAAATCGCTAAAAGTGGGCTTCAACTGTCTCAACTGAGTTCCAATGAGATCGCTCTGTCCATTTCTTTTACTGTCTATGGATTGGAGCAATGATGCTGAAAATTCAGCTTTGCATCACGGAAATAAATTACAACATACCGGTATTCAACTATAAAAGTTATTTTAAATTACAGTAATATTTTATTTAACTGTTTTTACTGTATATTTGACTAAACAAATGCAGCCTCAGTCAGCAGAAGAGACTTGTTTCAGAAACATTAAAGGTGCCTTGTGTAAAAAAATCAATTCAAAATCCACATATTCCATACCAGATGGGGGCAGTATACCTCCAGAAAGTTGGCCTACTCTAGTCTGTTTTTTAGTTTCGGGTTGTTAATCTTCTAAAACCGTCAAATCGTCCGCTTTGTCCCACCAAAGCCTATTTTGATCGGTGAGTGATGTAGAATAGAATGACTGCTGCGCTTGACAGGGCGCATAACGAGCAGAGAGAGAGAGAGAGAGCGCCCCGGCCGCGCGCGCGCACTCTCACGTCTTCAAACAACACGAGCGCTGTCCTCCTGCTTTCCCTCGCGCATATTAATCAAATCAATTGACACGATCGTAAGACCGCAGTTCATTTGGAGATTTTTAGAGATTAGAGACTCAATGAAAACATCTCAACACTAAATTATAAAGGCCGGTCTCATATAGACGCTATTGACAGGTTCAAGTACGCCCACAAGCCGTGCGAGTTATTCGTGTATTGGAGTTTGGCTGGTGGTTATGTATGTTGCCCGCATACCGCCTCCCATGGCCGAAACTGGTATTATGACACCGGCCGGGCCGGGGCTAGTAATTTAGCATGCTAATTCAGGTTTATATCTCGGCAGCACTATAACTTGTCATTTTTTTAATGACATCATTGCATTTATTTCTTCTCATTCTTTTGATACGTGTAGCTCATTTGTTGGATATTTTTACCTCAATTTTTACATATGGCACCTTTAAAGAATCTTACCGACCCCAAACTTTTGATCAGAACTGTACGTCACATAATATATTAAACTTTTTTTTAATGTCAAAACAGCAATAACTTTTTTTTCTATCTCAAAACAGCAAGAAAAACAAAATAAAATAAAAAACGAAATGATGAAAACGCATAATCTAAATATTTTCTAGGTGTATCTATGCTGTCAGACTGTCGTACCTGGAAAAACGTTCTCGATGTACCAGGTCATTATCCAGTAAATGAGAGCGTCAAACAGCATCATGAAGATGGAAACGATGAAGGAGTAGCGGTCGTTCTCCTGCGGGCTGACCCGGATGTTGCTCCACTGAATACCGATGCCTTGCTCTTCATAACGGGCGAAATTCTCACAGCCGTATCCAAACGCTACACATGATAGCAGGCTCTATTGGGACAGAGACGGAGAGGTCAGAGACTGGCTGGGCCCTCCTGCCTGCTCCATGTCATTAATGCAAATGCTTCCCTCCTGTGTGCATTTTTACTCAGGTATGAATATGAGATCAAAACAGCAGCATTGCCACGATCCACAATTTCAAAGTAAACAGTACTGCTCACATTAATGGGCCTGTAGGCTCATTCATCTAGCCTAGACAGCGGCGCCTGAATGCCAAGACGCTCACACACACACACACACACTTCTCTCTGATAAGAGGAAGACATCCACACACTGCTGAATAGAGCGAATATCTTTGCGTGAGATAAAGGTCACTCTGATTGGTCACAATGACGGAAATGCAGCTGTAAGTCATTTAGTTGGTCTTTCTCTTTCTCAAAGGGCAAAAGTGCTCCTCCATTGCTCTTCTCTTCAGGTGTGGGGTCACTGCTATAACTCTCTCACTAATGCACATCCTCACTGGAGATGAATGGAGCTCCAGGATGAGCTTCTCCAGAGATCTGAATCTGTTTCTGTGGATTTGTACTTTAAGAGGACTTGAGTGTTTCATTCACTGTGTGAATTAAATGAATGTAGTTCAAATGACACATCACTTCTCATTCTTTTCTTTCCTCTCGTCATGTTTATAACTCTGTCTCATCCTCTCCTCCTGCTTGTTTTTATGAAAAAGAGGCACACTTTGACATACTTTAAAAAAAGTACTAATCATGGGAATAATATACTTTACATTCAGTTCCCACTTAAGTATATTATTTTAAAGTTTTTGGACACTTAATTGTAGCTTAACAACAATTAAATGAAAATGTATTTTAGTTTGAATATATCTTTAAATGTAATTCCATGTCTTTGAAATAGGTTAATGTGTGCTGCTTAATGTACTGACAAGCATTTATTAGGCTAAATAAAAATATAATTTCATGTCATTTTTGTTGAAACTAGTACTGTACGTCATGCACTTAAATATATTTGTAACTACGCATTTGTATGACAAAGCTGCTTTATTTTCCACTTGTTTTTTGGAAAAAATATATTTTAAAATATAAAAAATATAAATATTTTAAATATATATATATATATAATAAAAAAGTAGTACAGCATAATTAAAAAAACTCATTACAGAAATAATATACTTCAAATGAGTATACTTAAGTGTAAACTGAAAGTAATGTTTCCAGACAATTAATTGCATGTGAAATGCAATTAAATGAAAATGTATTATATTTATTAAATTAATATTAATTGTAATTAGCTGAAATTTAGTGTTTTTTTATTCCCTTAGTTAACACTTAAAGGGTTAGTTTACCCAAAAATTAAAATTCTGTCATCATTTACCTCCCCTCATGCCGTAACAAACTCGTAAGGCTCATCTTCGGAACACAAATTAAGATATTTTTTTATGAAATTTAAGAGTCTTCAATCCCTCCATTGACAGTCTACGCAACTACCACTTTGATGCATCAAAAAGTTCAAAAAGTCAAAGTGGTAGTTGCTAGACTGTCAATGCAGGGACAGAAATATCTCATATTTAATTTAAAGTATCTTAATATGTGTTCCAGAAGTCGAATGGGTTTAAAACGACATGAGGGTGAGTAAATGATGACAGAATTTTCATTTTTGGGTGAATGAAACCTTTAAGTACATCTTTATATGTCATTTCATAGTTCTATTGTCTTTGAAATATGGTTAAAGTGTACTTATATAAAAAATACATTTTCAATAAAACATTTGCAAAGTAGTAGTTGCAATTTAATGCATTTAAAATATTAAAGGTAAATACCTTTAATGTAAAATTGAATAACACGCTGCAGGTACAATTATAATCGAGTTGTGTGCTTTAGTATGTTAGTCAACATCAAAACAAGTGTACTTCTTTTAGAGCATGACAAAATATTACTAAAACAAGAACTTTTCCTTAAAACTTTTAACTTGACATTGTACTTGAGTGTGTTAAGAATAAAAGTGTACTCTCTTTAAATGCACTTAAGTGACCTTTTATTTAATTAATATTACATTATCTGCAAGTAGTCATTTTTATAATGATTTTTTTGACGTGTATTTCAAATCTTAAAAGTATGTGTACTTTTGTTGTAAAGTCCAGACTCTACTGTGGATCTACGTTCAGCATTTGATGATTTGATGTATTAAGACATTAATTCTCCAGGCTGGTGTAGAGGTGTGTTGAATGTCTCACCGTGGCAATCTTGGCGCCAAAGCCCAGGATGTCCCTCCAGGCGTAGCAAAGCACATGAGGGAGGTAGAGTAGGAAGTAGATGAGGCCCCCACAGGCGGCTGCCAGATTCGCCCGAGAGAAAAACACACTGATGAAAAAGCACTGCATGACAGTTGCCACGCAGAAGACCAGGAGGAAGACAAAGATCACAGAGGGGTCACTGTATCGCAGAATCTTTCCATACTAAAAGAAAGATAGAGAGATAGAAGAGAAAAGAAATATGATGGAGCCACATTCTTGTAGTTATGTCTTGTCACACAGTTGTTGAGACAGATTCAGCCATAACCGCGTGAAAGCTTTCCGGAGCCTTTAATGAACGCTGTGTTTGAGTTTCCATGGATGCGTCAATAATGCAACCTGATAATTACAAAGCAGAACAACACACATTGAAAACCCACTTGTCTAAAAGAAGGGATTAGATCTGTCAAGAGCAGAGACAGAAAGAGAGAGCTGATTAAAAGGCAGGTCTGTGATTGAATAACCGATGAGCTTCATGGCTCTGGTGGGTTGAGGTAAACAAATCATGTATGATTTTGAATATACAGCAAATTGACATAACAGAAGCTCATCTGCCATGTGCTCAAACCTGCTGAACCCAGACAGAGTCACGCTGCCCACCGCAAAACCGTCCATTCGCAAACACTGCACCATCTGATCCTACACCAGCTTTTACTCTCGAGAGCAGTGGTTCTCCGCAAGTTGATTGGATAATTAATGAATAAAATGATCGTTGTTATTAATTTCATGGTAAGTGCTTCAGCTGTCTCACTGTTTTTCACTGCTGTGAATTATTCTAAACTGAAAAAAAATTAACATCTAAATTAACTGCTTTTATTCAAGTTAAATAAATTATTTAGTATCACTGAATCAACCTAAATACAATAATTTATACAAAAAACCTAATTTTTATTAAGTTTATGAACCACTACTAGAGCAAAGCTGAAAAAGCTCACTGATCGAGTCTATTTCAGATCAGATCTTGGATCCAGTGTTCCGCAGTGTTTGTAAATGGCAGTTAATCAGCATTGATCACCTTGAGAATGACAGTGAGAAGTGCAGCGCTGACAGCCAGAGGCAATGTGCTGCTGATGGCCCAGCTCAGCCAGTAGGTTGAGCTCTTCAATCCCATCATCATCACAGTCTCCTTCAGACGTGCCTCCTTCTCTTGAACCACACCCTTGACTATCAACGCAACCGAGAAGATCCACGCTAACGTCATATATAGAGGCAGGGAGCTTGTCAAAGATCGCAGAAACCTACACATGCACACACAAAACAAGCATTAAAACTTACTCCCACACTTCATTAAAAGAGTTATACAACAAGAGTAATACACACACACAAACAACTTCCCAAAACAACATGTGTTCTCTAAAGCATTTAAAGATGTTTTCTTAAAAGCATTTAACATAGACACTACATTGAATGTGCTATCTGTCAATCAAGCCCTGCGGCAGAGCTACCCCCAGATCATCTGTCTCATTTGACTAGATCTCTCTGCAGTCTAAATCACTAGGAACTTTTGTCAATAGGGCATCACATGAACTTCAGCCCACTAGCTTGAGATCTACTTCACTGCTAGATCCTTCAGGGTATTTTGTAAAGAAAGGGAGTCTCAGTTGCATCAGCCGATCACTGATGTACCCCAGGGTTCGGTCCTTGGCCTGCTTCTCTTCTCGATTTGCACAACATTGCTGGAAACAATCATCCTTTCACATGAATTTCTTACCACTGCTATTTCTTGTATCGGCCTGACAACCAGTCAGCAGGTGTACAGAACCTGACTTGCCAAGTAGACTCCATATTACCTAGATTCATATTTATAAGTATATGCTCCCTCCAGAAGTCTGCTGTCAGGGAGTGAGTGACACCTCATGGTGCAAACACAAAGAAGCACAAGAACTTTCCTGAACCTTCATTGTCGCTGTACCTCAATAGTGGAATAATCTGTCATTTCTCCATTTTAACAAGAGTTTTGCAAGACACATCAAATAATAACTCTTCTATGGGCACTTGACTCCCATCTATTACAATGCAATCTTAAAGCAGTGTCATTTGATGGACTCACATGCAGGGCATACTTTTATCTGCCTGATAAATATTAAACACACAAGCCATCTTACAAATTTCATTTTGTGTTATCTTTCTAGATGCATGATGCCTGCTAGAGTTTGGGTCCCCCAACAGGGTTTTCAAAATTTCATTAGTTTTATTTTCATTTAATTTTGTTTTGTAGTTTGATTTCAAAATTAAGTTAAGTTAAAGTTACATATATAAAATGTAAAAAAAAGTATGTGCCAAATGTGGAACAGTGCAGCTTGATGTAATACAGGGGTGCAAAACTGGAAGGCCACAATAATGCAGAGATTAGTTCTAACCCTGCTTCAACACACATGCATGCAGTTTTCAAATAAGCCCCTGATGTAGTACTTGCAACGCGCGATTTCTTCCCCCCAAACCAGTTCAGCGGAAATCCCGCTCTGCAGCCAATTTTAACGATTTCATTGGTCATGCCAATCACTGTACTGATTGCCCACTGTAATCTTAACCAATGAAATTCGCTGCAGGGCGGGATTTCCGCTGAACTGTTTTTTTTTTTTGGGGGGGGGGGGGGGGAATCACGTACTTGCAACATATAGTAAATATCCTATTTCTGTTACATTACATAAAATTTATATGTATATTGGAACTACCTTTACTTTGACTATGTATTATTCAGCAGTATGAACTGAATCAGATCAGGATTTTTAGCCCTTACAAACTCCATCAGCTCATCTATTCATGGTAAAAATGTCAGTTTTTTCAAAGGTCGGTTCATCTATTTGGGGAAGCACTAAGTAATGCATTTAGACAACGTGTTTAATTAACACATTAATGCAATTAACAAAGTCTCAAATCACTTTACACCATGCAGCTAAATTTTAAATTCCACACTATTCTGCTGATTCCCTGCACATTAGCTATATTAGTTTTTACCATGGAAACGAAGGAACGATGAAAGAGGTTTAGAGTGTAAAAGGCTGAGAAAGTTGAATAATCACACCACTGATTATAAAGACTCCTATAATGGGTCTATAACTGTCATGGTGACACAACCATCTATCAGCCAATCGTCACCAGATCAGCACGCTCCGCCCACTCGTTCACTCTCCCCGGACTACTGATTCAACGCACCTGCACCTCCTCATCAACCCGCACTATATATACACCACACACAACCTGCACACCATTGTCTGGTCTTGTCTAACCACGTACAGACTCATCTCTTGCTACAACTCCCGTTACCTGCCTGACTACCCATCTTAGGATGCCAGTCTTCTGATCCCGAGCCGTTGTGTGTGTTCAGCCTGTACCATCCTTCAACCACTGCACCTGTGATCATCATATTCCACCCAGCTAAGTCACAGTGCAACTGCTTGAACTTCACATTCACCCTTCCATCGACCAGTGTTTGTTCCCTGCATCCTATTAATAAACTTTTGTTTATGATCACCTGTCTGTTCCCTTCCATTGTGTCACAATAACAGGCCAGCTGTCACTCTTCTCGTGCTCAGGGGCACAGAATTGATCCGTTTCACAGGAATCAGAAATACACTACTGAAGGGTAAAGCTGCTTCGGTTACTGGTTTGTGGTATTAACATTAGTAAACTGGTCTCACACTTCTTATATTTTCCATATAGTCACTTTTCCGTGGCTTCATTATATAATGTACAAGAATTTACATTGGTTAAAACCAATTGTGTTCCCAGCACAGATGCACAAATGGTTTCCAAAAAGAGTGAAATTCAACCCAATGCAAATTCAATGTTTTTTTTTATTTTAAAGTGCAATGTTCTGTATGTACTAAATCATTTAAGTTTATATATTTACAGATTTTAAGATGAGTTTTATAATGTTGTTAGGAGCATGTAAATGCACTAGTGAGCATGCAAATGAAAGTGTGAAAATGCAGAGCGAACCGAACAAAGAGAATAAATTAAATGAACTGACAAAGAGAACGACATGACTGAGAAGTTTAGTTTAGCATGAGACCAAATCGCCTCTGGTAGTCTGAAGCTTCCTTATAGCAAAAGTTATGTTGTGTGAGTGTGATGTTGCTTTTAAACAAGTTCAAATATTCACACAAAGTTTAATTCATAAAGAGAAAAAGATTTCAGAACTTGGCCTCTATTGGAACACATTGGAAATAAGTTTACCCTGTGACAACCAATGTGGAAGCGAAAAACCTACAAGTGTAAAACAGGAGAGAATTATCACTATCTCATTGCAGCTGAACAAAAAATGCTCTGGAAACAGAAAAACACTCTTTAAAAAGACGACGGAGGGAGGCAGCGAGTGATAAGTAGGAGGTCGGTACTAAATCATCAACAATTTGATACTGTGCATAACAAATTAGCATAATAACCCAATTTAGAGGAATCAAAGTTCAACCCGTTTCTGCTTGATTTGCTTCAATTTTGGAATAATCATTTCCCTGTAATTATTTCCACTGTAATCATGAGCATTGAAACCACAAAGCACTTTGACTTTATGAATAAGCAACCTCTCAACACAAGCACCTTCATTTCTTCTATGTTAAATAGATCATTGTGCCTTTTAAACATTACATTTGAGCTTTTCTAACATTTTTTTTTTAATGACTTTAAATCTATTGTAGCTCAGTTTGGTTTGCATTCTAAAGGGGTGCAAACAAACCGTTATGAAACGTATAGCAAATCTGTTGAATTTAAAGCTCAAACTGAAGTAATCTGTCAACAAACAAATTTGTATGGTTAGGCTACTATACAGTTGACACTCTTTCCCGTGAGCTGACGGCTTACGTGATATAAAAATTGATCCATTTTGGTTTCACGTTGACTTTAAAGAAAATGTGACTTGTGTGTTCTCAAAATGCTTTGTGATGATGTTGAGTGATTTCTGTTTTGTATAATCTTTCGGTCTGATTGCGGTTTTGATTATTAGGCCCGATGTCTGATTTTTTTGATTATTCGGTTTGATTTCTCAAGGATGCATACTTATCTGTGCGAAAAAGGTGCAAACCTTCTAGAGGGTCAACGGACTTGCTTTAAAAAAAATATTAGCCATTTAATCAGCCCGTTCTCATCCCAAGGCGTCATCTAACTGGCGCTTTTGACCATGCGTCAACATGCCGACGCACATGGTACCCCTTAAGTGTCAATATGAGACGCGCCTCCTAGTGGTCTAACCCTAACCCTACCCCAGACCTAAACCTACCCATAACGGAAGCGTCATCTAACTGAGGCTAAAGGGTGCCATGAGCGTCGAATTTAGACGCATGGTCAAAAGCGTCAGTTAGATGACGCCCGAGGATGAGCGTCTCATATTGACGCTTAAAGGGTACCATGTGCGTCGGCATGTTGACGCATGGTCAAAAGTGTCAGTTAGATGACGCCTTGGGATGAGAATGTGTTGATTTAATAAGACCATACAATAATAACAATCATTATTACTCTTATTATTTAAAATGTTATTTTTATTATATTATATTGAAATATAAAAATGTAACTAATTAAAAAAGAAAAACATCATTTTAGTAATAATAATACTGTAAAATAATGTTTATTTTACAGAGAGTTTATTTTACAGAGAAACAGTAAAATTACAACACTAATATTTATGGCTCTCTTATTTTCTTAGCTTCTTTTTTATTGACAAAAGATTTAATATACGAAATACACATTAATACGCGACACAAACTCACATCACATGCAGAGATGGAGTTTGTGTGGAGCAGCATTTATTGTGAACCGAGACACTGAAAACACCGGAGCATGAGCTTTTCGTGTGTAAATGAACGCAGTGCTGCGCTTTAAGTGCTAAGCTCTCATTTTATTTCCCGCGACTCCTTAGCCTGGGAAAACCCAGACAACTTCCGGCAAATTTAGATTTGCTCTGAAAGTTAGTATGGCAAAGAGCTCATTCAAGCTCATTTCCAATCCGTCGAAATCGAGGCACCAATCAGAAATGTTGGGGCGGGCTTTAGACGATGACGACAGCGCTGGGTTTTTAAAGCAGATTTTGTAGCCTACATTACAAAGATGGATGCCGCCGTCGAACATCACTCGTTCGAATCAGCTATCGCGTCTGTTTTAAGCGATTTGAACGTTTCCTTTTTGTTAAAAACCGAGCAAAGAACAACTCTCTGATTGGTTTTAGGTCTATCCGCGACGTCGGTTGGTGACACCCCTCTGGAAATGATTTGTCTATGACGCTTTGCCAGACCATAACTCAGTT